GCCGACCCAGTAGATACGGTCTCCATTTGTCTACCGCCCATACAATCGCTAAACACTCTTTTTCTACTGTGGAATACTTCTGTTCTGTCGGCGTAAGGACACGGCTGGCATACTCCACCACTCTGTCAGACTGCCTCAAGACCGCACCTATACCGTGATCGCTCGCATCAGTGGTCACTGTAAATGGCTTCTCGGGTTCCGGCAGTCTCAGCGTCATTTGGCGGTCATCTAACAGCTCTTTGATTCGGTCGAAAGTTTGTTGAGCGGTCTCTGTCCACGTAAACTTCGCATTGCTTAGCACTTTATATAGAGGTGCTGCTATATCGTTGAAGTTCTTCACGAATCTGCTGTAGAACGCCGCTCTTCCCAGGAACTGTCTTAACTTCCTTTTTGAGTTGGGAACTGCAATATTCTTTATCGTTAGAATCTTCTCCGGCAGTGGTTTTATTTCTCCATTGCCTACTCTATGCCCCAGCAACGTGACGCTTCTTTTCGCTATCTGAGACTTGTCTTTGTTAATTCGTAAACCAAACTCATCAATTCGCCTTAGGACCGCCTCCACGTGCCTCACATGTTCTGCCTCTGTACGACTATATACGACCAAATCATCGCCATAAACCTCGACATTCTCCAGGTTTCTGAGCAGCAATGTCATTAGTCTTCGAAACGTAAAGGGTGCGCCCGCCAATCCAAAGGGCATTCGTTTAAATTGATACTGCTTCTCCCGTACGATAAATGCCGTTTTGCTGCGATCACTGTCTTTTATTGGTAGCTGCCAATAGCCCGACCGTAAATCTAACACTGTGAACACCGTAGCACTCTGTAGACGATCTAATGTCTCCGCTATTGTTGGCATTGCACATGGTTTTATTTCTGTCACGTTATTCAGTTCTCTAAAGTCAACACAGAATCTATACTTTCCATTCGGCTTCTTTACCAAAAGTACCGGTGAGCTGTACGGGCTATCTGCTTCTTCAATTATACCTGCTTTTAACATCTCCTGTACCTGCTGGTTTATCTCAGCTTCCAAATGTACGGGGACCCGTCGTGTTGTGAAGATGGTTACTTCTTCGTTCTTTATCGGAATTTCATGTTTGACTTTATTACAAAACCCGTACGGTTCTCCGTCTCCCGTGAACAACTTCTTATATTTTGTGAGCACCTCGTTAATGTTCTGTTTCTTTCCAATGTCCTCTTTTGCTACTCTAACCTCAGCCACCTCGCTGCTTTCATGTATTGTCAGTGTGCCGTACTTTGTAATCACCTTCTTACTTCTTGTATCAATAATTGCTCCTACTTCTCTCAAGAAATCTGCTCCTAGTATTGGTCTCGACAAGTTCGTAGTCACTACAAAGGGAAACTGTATTTTCGAACTGCCGATTTTCACGATATCATTTGAGACTCCGAGGATTTTTAACACGTGGCCGCCGATGGTGTTAACAACTAATGCACTCGGCCTGATACCTCTACACCGCTCTTTGTCTATTAACGAAACTGCCGCCCCTGTATCAATCAGGCAAACTACCTCTCGCTCGTTTATCCCTACTCTCGCATAGACCGCCCCCTTATCTACTAATGCCGAAACCCCCAGTTTCGAAAGACATAAAGAACAACTTGTGTATGGTCTAAAATATTTACGTCTTCGTCTTGTTGGGCGATTCCTCTTCCAATGTCCGGTTCCTCCGCAAATGTAGCATTTATTATTTCTTTCACCCTTTATTCGTAACGCTGCCACCTCTCGTTGTAATTCTTCTATCTTCTTCACGACATCATCAGCCTGTCTCTCACACGCCACCGAGGCGACTGTTGAGTTCATCAGTTGTCTTGTTACTTTCGCCAGCTCGGTGACGTCCATTGGTTGTGCTGCGTTCACCAGTCTCAACTGTTGGCCAATCTCTGCAGGCACACTTTCAATGAATTGCGAGGCTAGCAGCTGTGCCTGCGACTCCTCATCCAAATTCGGCAGACCCCGGCGCAGCAATCTTGTCAACTCCACGGCCAGCACGAGTGGGTCGCCTAAAAAAAAAAAAAAAAAAAAAAAAAAAAAAAAAAAAAAAAAAAAAAAAAAAAAAAAAAAAAAAAAAAAAAAAAAAAAAAAAAAAAAAAAAAAAATCCAGTCAGCGTCCTCCACACTATCGTACACCGCTCTCGCCCTGCCTCTTAGTAGAGTCCCCAGCACCACCGCCTTCGCCTTCCGTTCCTTGACTCCGACCAGCTCCGCCACAGCCTCGAACTCCTTCAAGAAGCTCCTTACATCTCCGTCTTCAAACTCCCGAGGCCATGGTATCTTCATCCTGTGTGGAGGCAGCGACACCAATTGAGAAGACTGAGGCAGGCTCAATAGATTGTATTTGGCAAATTTACACTCTTAGTCAATTAAAAACGATAACATTACATTGAACACTCCATTTGCACACCATCTTTGAGTCCCGACTTCCAACGCTCCAGCCTTCCTCCATTCCTGCTGTTGCTTCCTTTACTTCCTGTCGGTGCTCTAAATCTTTCTTGCTTTTGCTCTATTTGCTTTCCGTTTTCCTCTTCTGACCGTAAGACATCTTCTTTCACGTCCATTCTTATACTACTTATATCGTTCGTATAAGTAGCACACACCACACTACTATTGGATTTGAGTTGACAATTATATCTCTCTGCTGATGTGGTATGGCAACATGAACTGATGTACTTACGTACAAAGTTCTACGTTGCATCTGACTGACTGACATACGCAATTAGCTCAATCAGGATCTTGGAGTCGATGTGCACCACCATTGATTTGGAGTCAGGGTCTAGATGGATCGATCCTCTGAAATGACCAACCCCATTTAAGCGCTAACTATACATTCGCTCTTCGCCCCAATCTTGGTAAACACCCACAGAGCGAGACGACCTACCTCACAGTGGCAATATACGCGTGACCTTACGAGAGCAGAATCTCGGCCATGCCAGAATACTACCACCATACAGTAATCACAGATTCGAAATGTAACAAATTTTCAGTATCATGATTGTACAACAAATCTTTACCAGATACAAACTAATCTATTATACTTTGCTTTAATAGCTGTACACTCTGCTTTATATAACAGTCAGTCAGATGCAACGTAGAACTTCGTACGTAAGTACATCAGTTCATGTCGCCATACCACATCAGCACAGAGATATAATTGTCAATTCAAATCCAATAGTAGAAGAGGTAGTAAAGGTATTAGAAGTAATCGGAGAGGTTAGGATTAGAAGATATTCAAGAAATATGATTCAGTGAGAAAAGTTTAGAAAGTCAAAACTAGAGGTGTTGAAGAATCCAGAAAATTATGATTTGAGAGAACACAAGGATAAATGCACCAGCGCCATTGAGCCATGTCATTCAAGGTCTCTAACCATCGATTATTATCATCTCGCGGACCCCAACCAGGTGCTAGTCGACAATTACCAACATGACCCAATCCACTCGTCAATGCCGCCATGTTTTGGTTTGACCGCCCTCCTAACTTTCTTCCAACCTACTCTTTATATTAATAATTACACAACACAGAATTAGTTGTAGAACAAAAAAAAATAGACACATTCAATAGAAAAAATATACGGTATGTAATTTTTTTTCTTAATATCGAAATGCCGCCAATTTTTTTCCAAATATATAAACAAAACAAAAACAAAACATCATTTCATTTAAACACAATACTACAACACAGTAATAAAAAATGTTTTTGTCACCGAAGCAAAAAAATTTATTTTTTTAAAAAACAATTTAAAATGAATGAATGAAACGACAATGATAATAATAATAATAATAATAATAATAATAATAACCAAATATAAAATGATTGAATCTTTAATGGCATCCAATTACCCAATTGATTCATTCAAACAAACAGATTCAATGATCAATGAATATAGAAGATAGTTCAATGTGACCAAACAAACCATTGAGCATATAAAGAAAAGGAAGAATTTTGTAAACGAACATAGTCTCTCATCTTCACATCATGTTATCAAGATATAAAGAGAGTAAGCTGAATACAATATGAAATGGAAACAACCAACCATTTACGGTTTGTAGAAATTACATGAACAAATAAAAAAAAAACAGGAATCATGACAAAATGACACTAGACACACACGCAAGTGAGCGCACACGTACATGCCTATGTATGTATACACACACTGGGGTAGAGTTGATGTGGTTGAAGTATTTGTTATGAATCATGGTCATCGGTAAACTGATAATCGACTATTGAGTAGATGATAAAAGTGATGTGTACAACACAACAAATGTATCTACACACACGCACAATGAATGACAGAGTAATGATATTTTTGTCAAGGAATCAATCCCGATTCACTCCCACACTCACGAGAAAAAAGCAATATGGCCATATGCGAATTAGTATGATAAATTGTATTACTTTAATGACGATACAAAGTAGTAGTTATAGTAGTAGTACTTGCTTTGTAAAAATGTAATTGTTTGCAGTTTTTTTATACAATAAAAAATAACTTGACGAACACGAAGAGAGAGAGAAGGAGAGGGGGGAATTCAATAATGAACGAACAAACCGACACGCACAATAGTGCGCTGCATACTGTACGACGACGTCAGAATCATTTGAAAAAAGATTGATTGAAAACAGAGTCCATTGGACTCAGAGATACACAATTCCGCGTAAAAAGACAAACTCACACACGAAATGATTGAATGAGGAGAGTAGTTTGTTAAAATTATAGTAAATTTTATAGAAACATGTAACACACAAAGGATAAAAACATCAACATCAGTACAAAAAAGGCGTACAATACAAATTTACAATATTACAATTTACTGATTGACTGATTGACTCTAGGCGGCTTGTTAGAGAGAGAGAGAGAGAGAGAGAGAAGAGAAAATGTTACCGACAAGACAAAACAAGATTGTGCAATGAGAATAATAGTTCAATGATTGGTTGATTGTAAGAGTTGGGGGTGGGGGTGCTAATCAGGACGAGTAGCTTTGTAATGCTTACTTAAGCTGTTGTTCCAACTGGATGATAATAAGCGTTGGGATCACGTTCATTGACAGCACAACAAAGAGTCAATGCAAAGATTAAACCAATTAGCTATGGGCGGAGGAAAGAATAGAAACATGGTAATTAGGGCAACTAAATCATTATAAGGAGTATGAAAAAATCAAAAGGGAAAATGTGAAGTGGGTTAGGTTGTGCCAAACCTTCAATTGATCGAAAGTTAGACATATTAACACAAGTAGATACGTTTGAGCGTAAGACCGAAAGTCATGGGTTTGATTACCGCGTGCGGATGCGCATGCACACCGCTGATGAGACCCAATACTAGGACGAATCAGTCGCCCAGTGCTTCCAGGTTTCTAATAGTGGTATAACAATGATTAACGCGAAAGTGGACAAGTCCGTTTTTGCCATGTTTAAATCAATAAAAGTCCGAATATGGGTCCCCTTAAATCTTTGAAGCTCAAGGTTTCGCCTGATTTGAAAATTGTGACCATAACTTAAATTTTTTCTGAATTCTACTCAGAATACTTTATTTGTGCGTTATGGTTCCTGTGTCTACGTTTGGATAAATTAGAAAATACAGTCTTTACACAACAGCCCTCAGCGTTCGCGTGGCGGACTCTGGTAGTTTTCCGACGCATTCCAACATTGACAAATACAGCAAGATGTAGAAGTCACTAATAGAACAGTTATATAACATGTCCAATCCACCAAAAAACAGTCAACAAACTGATGCGACTATGCCAGATTTAACAAAGAACGAAGTGAAAACTATGTGACTCTGTTTTAAAATTCGATTATAACTCAACTTTTCACTTTCCATTCCAGTTGCCAACCATGTTACATAGTATATTTGTGAAAAACAGTAGAGAGACGGTTGAAATGTTTGGAGATTATGAGTAAATATTCAACATTAATCAATGTAGAAACTTCAATTTCACATGATTGTTACTACCATTCTTAGTCAATACCACCATCGAGTCAGAAACAGAAGCACATGAGGTCAGTTTAATGTCAATCAAAATTTTGGATATATGTGCCTATAACTCGATAGCAAAATAGACTTTCTGTTCTACTCTTGCCTCGTGTACCATGCGGATTACTACGAATACTTCTACTATCTCTACTTACTATGGGCTTTGAATTGACAATTATGTCTCTTTCCTAATGTGGCATGGTGACTTGAACTCAACTGATGTACGTACGTACGAAGTTCTACGTTGTAACTGAATGACTGTGTAACATGTATCCCGGTTTTCTAACTGCTCTTAGGCAGGCATTTAATTCTTGTTCTCTCGTAAACAATACGTCCGCTATAAGAAGGCAATCAGTAGGATATTCCTGTCAATCATTATATACGCGTGATCACACAAGACTATTTAATATCAGATAGAGAGAACTCTCGCCACGTTTGAACGTACTAGGAAATTCACGGGGAAATGTACTACACAGCTTTATCAGTGAAAATAACTAGAGGAAGGTCTTTTTTTGATTTACTTATTACGACCATCCTATCATTTAACTACTAGATAACAGTTACATTTTTAGCAGTTCGTACGTACGTACGTACGTACATTAGTCCAACTTGCCATACCATATTAGTACCAAGACGCGGTCATCACTTCAAATCCCATAGTAGTGAGGTAGTAGAAGTATTAGCAGTAATCGAAGAGATTAGGGTTTGACAAAATGCCCCTAGCTTTCTTCCAACCTGCTCCTATATCACAAAACATAGCTCGACAAGGCAGTCGGTGGTTAGACAGACGTAACACATGACCCAACAACCACTTCAACTGACGAAGTTTCAATACTTCTTCAATTGATCTGCCATCCTTACCTAGCACCCGTTTCCTAATAACAACATTGCTTACTCGGTTTTCCCATGATATACGAGCAATGCTTCGGAGACACCTATGATCGGAGACAAGCAACGTACGAATATCTTCTACTCTTACGAGCCATGTTTCGGATCCATATAGGAGAACGGAGCGAACTGCTGCACAGTACACTCGTCCTTTAGTCAGTAAACGGATATCTCGCCTATACCATGAGTGACGTAAGTTGACAAAAGCCAATCGAGCCTTCTGTATCCTTGCCCAGATTTTGTCAGTCACCATGCCTAGATAAGTAAGTGAAGCGGTCAACATGCTCAACTGCTTCACAATCTATCACTAATTCATTAGTGCCGATACAAACCAATCCTGAAATAACATTTTCCATTTCGACAGAGGGAAGAATCACATCCCAAAAACATGCTTGTGCATCAGTGCTGGTGCTTACTTAGTAGGGTAGTCGTCGTCAGGAGACACTCGGCATTTTGTCAGCGCCTTATTCACCAAGTAGAACTCTATATATGTCATTGGCATTATAACAATAATTCATAGACATCATGTTACTTTCGTTTTTTATTTTCAATTAAAAAAAAGCCAAAATAATAATGAAAAAAACTTACCTCAATAACAGCGATTGTAATCACTGAAATACATACAATTAAGAAATTATGCATAATATTGTCGATTCTTTCTTTACAACCCTAAAATAAACAACGAAACAAACGAACGTAAAACAAGATAGATTATCGAGTTATTATTATTATTATTATTATTATTATTATTATTATTATTATTATTATTATTATTAAAATGACTCACTTGCTCAGTACTCGTCTGAATACACTCCAACTTTAGGATAATACTAGAGTTTTATATGCAAACTAAACCGGAGGTGGATGTTTCAAGAGACCAGGAACGACGTTTCGTGATCTCGCTTCGTCTGCATTAGCGGTGCAGTGGGAAAAGGGAGTGTGAGTAGAGTTAGCCGTAGAGATAAGAGAGACATTAGGGGGTGTAGGAAGGATTTGATTTTGAGCAATTTGGTCTCGCGTGCTGTTACGGGTATGAGGGCGGTTGTCACTTCCAGGCTGCCCACACCGTGGAAGGTTGTTTCTTGAGGGACCTGAAAAGGAAGATGGATTAGTGTTGGTGCGTGACCGCAGAGCCCAAGGGACAACTGCTTGAGGCCGGTCACGCACGGCCTTTTTATGAAAGGTATTTAGAGGATTAGCTCCGTTCTTAAAGGCCCTTAGTGGGCACCCTAACCCAAGGAGACGGAAATCCGTGAGTTAGGGGAGGTGTGACATTTTTAGGGTCGACCTATTCTCACCCTTCCTTCCTTGTGAGAAGGCAGCATCGCTGCAGATGCTGGTTGTCCGAGGGAAACACCTTACTGCTGTCACACCCCTCTGCAGTCAGCAGTACGACTTCGCCCTCAGACCTTGGGTAGCTGCTTTTAGTCTCATCGTTCTCCAATCGACCAGCCTGGCATGGTAGAACCTTGAGGAACATATGTTCCAGCCAGTATAGCTCGGTTGGGTCATCACGATAGGCAAGCCCGACCACCACGTCAAGGTAGCAGCTTCGGTCGGGGGAGGTGGATAGGACATACATTGTGCCCAATGGCGTCACAAGGTAAGCTATATTGATAAGGAAGACGGCTAAAGAACACAATACTTCGAGAATTGGCAGCGCACATGAAAGGAATCAACAGCAATTAGATAGAATTGAAAAGGAAGGCCGAGGATAGAGTAGTTGCGAGAATGACTAGTCCACGGTCTACGCTCCATATTAGGGATAACAGACTTATGTGCGTAAGTAACGCGCAAGATGAGGAGGATTCAACTCATTGTAATATACATATTATTGTTAGATTCACCGGAGCAGCGATTGAATTCATCTGAATAACGCATCCAAGGTCTACAATCAAGTTAGAAGACTCTCTTAGTTACTTTACTTACTTATACTTACGCTTGTTACCGCCCAACGGAGCATAGGCCGCCGACCAGTATTCTCCAACTTACTCTGTCCTGGCCCTCCCTTCCTAGTTCTGTTCAATTTTTGTTCATTCATCTCTTATGTCTGTCTCCATTTCTCAAAGTAAAGTGTTCCTTGACCTTCCCCTTATCTTCTGTCCTTGAGGGTTCCAAATGAGGTCTTGTCTTGTGACGTAATCGGGTGCTTTCCACACTTTGTACCTTAGTTTCTCAGGAATATATATATATATATATATATATATATATATATATATATATTGTATAGATCGTAATGAATTAAATTTAAGCTTCAGTCAGTCAGGTGCAACGTAGAACTTCGTACGTAAGTACATCAGTTCATGTTGCCATACCACATCAGTACAGAGATATAATTGCCAATTCAAATCCAATAGTAGAAGAGGTAGTAAAGGTATTAGAAGAAATCAGAGAGGTTAGGATTAGAAGATATTATTCAAGAAGTATGATTCACTGAGATAAGTTTAGAAAGATAAAACTAGAGGGGTTGTAGAATCCAGAAGATTAGGATTTGAGAGAACACAAAGAATAAATGCACCGGCGCCATTGCAAACGATTTTGAGCCATGTCGCCCAAGGTCTCTAGCCATCGATTACTAACATCTCGCGGACCTCAACCAGCTGGTAGTCGACATCTACCAACATGACTCAGTCCACTCGTCAATGACTTCATGGATTTCTGCCATGTTTTGGTCTGGACGCTCCTAATTTAAGCTTACATTCAAGGTGATAAGATAACAGTCACAGCAACAACAACAGTCCATCGTAAAACAATAGGCAAACGGGAAAAAAAAGCAGTCACGAGAATTACACACAAATTGAAAATGGATTCGTTTAATCACTAGGAAAAAGAACTCATTTCAAACAAAATCATAATAAATGAATTGATTTTACACTCTCATTGCCAAAAATCCATTGTTCATTTTCAAATATTTAAATAATTAAACTAATAACATGTCCACAAATAAATAGTATAAAATGATTTTGATTCAAATATAAAATGAGAACACAATAATTGATTAAGGCTTCATATACAGAGGCATTTGATCTATCTGTTTTGTGGTGTAGGAGTAGGTTGGAAGAAAGCTAGGGGCGGCCAGATCAAAACATGGCACAAATCTATGAAGTCACTGACAGCTGGACTGAGTCATGTCGGTAGATGTAGGCTACCTGGTTGGGGTCTCAGAGACGAAAGTCACCAATGGTTAGAGACCTTGAATGACATGGTTCAAAATCGTTTGCAATGGGGCAAGTGCATCCATTCGTTGTATTCTCTCAAATCCTAATCTTCTGGATTCGTCAGCACCCCTATCTTTGTCTTTCTAACCTTATCTCACTGAATTATACTTCTTGAATGATAATATCTTCAAACCCTAGTCTTCTTCATTACCATTATTACCTCTACTATCTTTATCACTATGGGCTTTGATTTGACATTTGCGTCTTTGTGCTAACTAATGTGGTATGGCAACATGAACTTATGTACACACGTACGTAGTAGTTCTACGTTGCAACTGACTGACTGCATTTGATCTAACTAACTAACTCTAACTGAAAAGGATTTGGAATGGACGTTGTTGCATACATACATCATCGATAGGAGGCTACTCATCTAAATTTATGCTTAGGAATAGGAATCGTCAGGTGGAAAACTTGAACGATGGACACTTTTCTTTTATTTGATACAAACAAAAACCCCCAGGAATTATTTTATTGTTTTAAAAACATTTACAATATCAAAACTATTGAAAATAATAATCACTCTAAAAAATGTTCGTAGAAAAACAAACAAACAGACACATACAAAGCAGAGCTTCGTACATAAGTACATCAGTTCAGGTTGCCATACCACCACCACATAAGCACAGACACGTACGTAGCTGTCAGTTCCGAAATCCAAGAGTGATAGCGATAATAGAATTATTAGCAGTTGCTACCTTGACGTGGTGGTCGGGTGGGCTTGACTATCGTGATCACCCAACCGAGCTATATTGGCTGGAACATATTTTCCTGTAGGTTCTACCATGCCTGAGAGGTCGACTGGAGAACGATCAGACTAAATGCAGCTACCCAAGGTCTGAGGGCGAAGTCGTACTGCTGACTGCAGAGGGGTGTGACAGCAGTAAGGTGTTCCCCTCGGACAACCAGCATCTGTAGCGATGCTGCCTTCTCATAAGGAAGAAAGGGTTAGAAAGGGTCGACCCTAGAAATGTCACACCTCACCCCTACATCACGGATTTTCGTCTCCGGCGGTAAGACCATTTAAAGAGCTGAACTAATACTCAAAAAAGACCGGCTTCAAGCAGTTGTCCCTTGGGTTCTGCGGTCACACTCCCAGGTCTCCAAGATCAACACTAATCTATCTTCCATTTCAGGTTCCTCAAGAAACAACCCTAAACGGTGTGGGCAGCCAAGAAGTGACAACCTCCCTCATACCCGTAACAACACACGAGACCAAATCGGTCATAATCAAATCCTTCTTACAAATTGGTAAAAAAGCAAAACGATGGACAAAATAGTGTGTTACTTTTCGAGATCATAAATCGATCAATGTCAAACTACAATTAGAATCCTGGAGTCACTGGACGGCCGTTTCCTCCTGGTATGCGCAGTGCGCATCCACGACTCCTGTAACTCACAACCATGGACTGATCGAAGTTAGACATTAACACCGTTAAATACCAGCTCAATGGTCCGGAAGTTAAGCGTTTGCGCGCGACACCAAAGGACTTGGGTACAAATCCTGCAGGTTGCATGAGTCGTGGATGAACACTGCCACTGACTGATAGGTTCCATAGCAGGACGAAACGGTCGTCCAGGTATGGAACTCAATCTCCCACAACTAGTGTGTAACAACAATCAGTCCGTTATTCCATACAAATCAAGAATAAAACTCGGATACAGTTTCTACAAAGAGAATATATTGACTAAAGCAGTCAAATCTCACTGCTATTTGAAGGTGATTTAAAATTTACAACACTGAAAACAAATGATCACTTTGAGTGAACTATCCTAAAGGCGAACACTAACAAACAGACCAACAAAACGAATGCAAATGCTTATTTCGAAATGGATGCAATAATTAAAACATACATATGATGCGATAAATTGTCTGTTTAACAATATCCCAATGTAGAATGTTCATATGATGTATACTGGATGTAGGGATATGAGAGTGGATGTCACTTTCCGGTTGACCAACACACCTTAGAAGGATATTTCTTGAGGAATCTGAAAGAGAAGTTGGATTGACATTGATCTTAGCGAACTGGAACATGGACGATACTGAAGTCGTATTCTTGCAGACGTATCATCCACCGCGCCAACTTCCCTCGAGGGTCTCTTGCTGTTCTCAACCACTGCAGGGGTTTATGGTCAGTCTCAATGTGAAATCGTCTACCTAAAAGGTATGGTCTCCATTTTTCTACTGCCACACGATTGCTAGGCACTCCTTTTCGATCGTTGAATACTTCTGCTTGGCGGGTGTGAGAACGCGACTTGTGTATTCCACCACTCTATCAGCCTGACTCAATAACGCACCTATACCATGATCACTTGCATCTGTGGCCACTGTAAACAGTTTCCCGGGTTCAGGCAGTCGTAGCGTCATCTGACGATCGTCTAGAATGTTTTTGATTCGGTAGAACGTTTGTTCGGCAGCCGGTTGACCACCACACCTTAGAAGGTTGTTTCTTGAGGAATCTGAAAAAGAACTTGGGTTGGCATTGGTCTTAGCGACCTAGGAGCGCTACCACAGGTTGGTCACACACGGCCATATAATGGGAAGTATGTAAATCGTTAGCTCAGCTATTCAAACAGCATTATCACCAGAGACGGAAATCCGTGGAGTAAGGCTAAGTATCACATTCTTAGAGTCGAATTTTCTGACCCCTCCCTTCGTTGTGATAAAGCAGCATCGCTGCAGATGCTGGATATGTGAGGGAAACAACTTGCTGCTGTCGCACCCTTTTACACTCAGCAGTACGACTTCACCTTCAGACCTTGAGTAGCTGCTTTTAGTCTCACCGTTCTTTAATCGACGTGCCTGTTATGATAGCACATGCAAGAACATGTGTTGCGACCAACATAACCTGGCTGGATCATTACAACAGGCAAGGCCTACCATCACGTTAAGAAGGCAGGCAGCCACGGCAAGGGCTATTCTATGCAATCACTGATACAAAAATAGGCCAGATTCTTTTCGAGTTATGTTTTTTGAAAGAAAAAGAAAGACATATTCAAGTAATTTACAGTGAATACTTACCGATTGAAAACTGAGCAAAGCAAAATCCATAGCACAATCACCATTTAAACAACAAGAAGGAACTTGAGTAATACCATAGTCAGTAGGTCCATTGTAACCGCAACATTGGAACTAAATGACGAGCAGGAAAAAAAAGATTCAAGCGATACATACATATTCTAGTTGTCTTTTTTTAAGTTTGATATGTAAAATTTGATTTGTAGAATTTTAAGAAGAAAAAAAGACGAAATTACAGTTAAATGATCAAAAGTGGCTTGTAATAAATCAATCAAGCAATCAACAGGAACGTAGAACTTCGTACGTACGTACGTACGTATATCAGTTCAAGTTACCATACTACACCGCATTAGCACATTGAGATGTAATTGTCCATTCAAATCCCATAGTGGTAGACGTGGTAAAGGTATTCAGTCAGTCAGTCAGATGTAACGTAGAACTTCGTACGTAAGTACATCAGTTCATGTTGCCATACCACTACAGTAGCACAGAGATGTAATTGTCAGTTCACATCCAATAGTAGTAGAGGTAGTAAAGGTATTAGAAGTAATCGGACAGGTGAGGATTAGAAGATATTATTCAAGAATTATGATTCAATAAGAAAAGTTTAGAAAGTCAAAACTAGAGGGGTTGAAGAATCCAGAAGAATAGGATTTGAGAGAACGCAAAGAATAAATGCACCGGCGCCATTGCAAACGATTTTGAGCCATGTCATTCAAGGTCTCTAACCATCGATTATTATCATCTTGCGGACCCGAACCAGGTAGTCGACACCTACCGACATGGCTAAGTCCACTCGTCAATGACTTCATGGTAAAGGTATTAGCAGTAATCTGAGAGCTTAAGGTTCGATGATATTATTCAAGTAGAATCTAGTGAAATAAACTTAAAAAGAAGAAGATGAGAGTGATGAGGAACTCCAAAGATTAGGATTTGAGAGAACACAAAGAATGAATGCACCTGCGCCATTGCAAACGGTTTTGAGCTATGTTGTTGTCATTCAAAGTCTCTAATAAAGGTAAAAGATTATATGAAATGTGCTTTTCTCTTTCTTGGTAATGTAAGGACAAGGCAATAAAAATTTTAAAAAGACTACTGAATTTTAGGCATAAATTCTTAAACTGAATGGAATGTGTTGAATGTACAGAAACATACTCAACCAGATTATCTACTTGAGATCTATGGAACCATCGTAATCAGTTGTTAGAGAGACTTGGGGTGTGTAGCAGTGATTTTGTGCTTAGAGAGACGTTCAACTTTCCGTCATTGAGTCTTGTGTTCAAACCCAGCTGTGTTGACTTCGGTTTGAACAACTGGATAGGATTATTAGCTCCCAAACTGAGTATATTTATATATAGTTATTTATGATACTCAACATCTACTTTGAACTTAGTTTGCTTGACTTCGGTGACGTAATCAAATGAAACACAAAAGGATTTAGTCAGTCAGTCAATTAAAACGTAGAACTTCGTACGTATGTACATCAGTTTAGGTTGCCACAACACATTAGCACAGAGACGCAAATGTCAAATCAAATCCCATAGTGATAAAGATAGTAGATGTATTAATGGTAATGAATAAGACAAGGGTTTGAAGATATTATTATTCAAGAAGTATAATTCAGTGAGATAAGGTTATAAAGACAAAGGTAGGGGTGTTGACATATCCAGAAGATTAGGATTTGAGAAAGCACAACGAATGGATGCACTTGCGCCATTGCAAACGATTTTGAGTCATGTCGTTCAAGGTCTCTAACCATTGGTGACTATCGTCTCACGGACCCCAACAAGGTAGTCTACATCTACCAACGTGACTCAGTCCACTTGTCAGTGACTTCATGGATTACTTCCATGTCTTGATCTGGCCGCCCCTAGCTTTCTTCCACATTAGCACAGAGATGCAATTGTCAGTTAGTCGGAACGGAGATTAGGGTTCCAAGAAATTATTCAAGAAGTTTAATTCAGTGAAATAAATTTAGAAAGAGAAAGATAAAGGTGATGACGATGAATTCAGAAGATTAAAATTTCAGAAAACACAAACAATGGATGCACCTGCACCATCGCAAACGATTTTGAGCCATGTCCTTCAAGATCTTTAACCATCCGTTTCTCTCGTCTCGCAGACCCCAATGAAAAAGAGTATAACTTGATAGTATAAATAAAAACATTAAGATAACTCCATTAGTATTCAATATCAGAATAAATGACAACCATGTCTTTTTTGATTGCTTTATAGGATCACGTAGTTTTTTTTTGATTAAGCGAGAAAATTTAGGATGTAGAGCTGGTAAGGCAGCGTTACAACATGACCGTCCAGCTACACATATAGCTATGAGCGGTTAGTTAGGAAATAATGCGTTAGAAAAAAAAACATTTTTACAAGTACAAACAATATTACATAAGATAAACAGACTAGAAGGAAATAGACAGATATTAATTAATACATCACATCTTACCATAACATGGATTGCATCCATCCATCGAACTTCACTACTAGATTTTTTCCAATCTTCAACGCCTTCTTTCAGTGTTTCATGAATAATTGCACGTGCCTAATCAAAAATACAACACAAATGAATTAAGTTCTGTTTAATAATCATGATACAACCCAATATCATAGGTGTTTTAGTTGTATAAATGATAAACTCATTCATCTAGGTAATATTATTGATTAGTTTGTTCTATGCCAAAACCACACTATTTTTTGGAAGATTTCGCTGTGTTGCAGAATGTTGAAGGCAATTTCTACGAGAAATGGTAAATTTCTACGATATCATTTTAAATATATGGATAGACAGCTGAAATCGTGGAAACAGGCAGGAAACTGCTATTTGATCAAATACATAACAGGCACTTCATTCGTATGAATGAATCTCTAGGTATATCTTTTCGGATAATGAAATGCAAGTACATTACGATCTAATCATACAAATAAAAGTATATAAGCTTTAAGATACTGTATCTATACAACAATCAGTCAGTCAGATGCAACGTAGAACTTCGTACGTAAGCACATCAGTTTATGTTGCCATACCACATCAGTACAGAGTTGTAATTGTCAATTCAAACCCAATAGTAGAAGTTGTAAAGGTATTAGAAGTAATTGGAGAGGTTAGGATTAGAAGATATTATTCAAGAAGTATGATTCAGTGAGATAGGTTAAGAGAGTCAAAACTAGAGGTGTTGAGGAATCCAGAAGAATAGGATTTGAGAGAGCACTGGTGCCATTGCAAACGATTCTGAGCCATGTCGTTTAAAGTTTCTAACCATCGGTTACTATCGTCTCGCGGACCCCAACCAGGTAGTAGACAACTACCGACATGGCTAAGTCCATTCGTCAATGACTTCATGGATTTCTGCCATGTTTTGGTCTGGCCGCCCCTAACTTTCTTCCAACCTATTCCTACACTACAAAACAAAGCTCGTTGAGGCAGTCGGTGGTTAGGCATACGCAACACATATCCCAACAACCACCTCAACTGATGAAGTTTCATTACTTCATCTATTGATTTGCCAATCTTACCTAGCACCCGTTTCCTAATAACAGCTTTGCTCACTCGGGTTACTGTACTAGTTACTACTGTAGCATGTTACAGTTAAAATATTTTATCAAATCTTTTTGTCACTAATTTCTAACTTTACGAGGGTTAGTGAAAATATCCAACTGCCTAGATCAAAGTAGATGAGACGGTGTTTGAATTAACGATGTATCTACTCAACCTCAAATGCCTTAGTTATTGTATTAAGCAGAATAACAATATTTGAATTGTATAATATGATCTCAGACAGCTACCACCTAACAGTTGGTTGTAAAATATTAGAGACAATAATATAACACTTGTGCCATAAGTTGAGTGAAAATAATCAACATGAAAAAAGCACTTAAACCGAAGCCGATATGATAAGAGTAAAATTAAAACCGAATAAATGAAAACAAATCATCTAGGTCATTGTGAACAATATATCATTGATGTTTGGAATTATTTATAAGCAGTATATATATATGAACAATAATATACAAAATTTGCATTTTACCTGTTCTCTATGAACAAATCCAGCTACACCAATAGCAATTTCGATAGCAAATATAACCAACAACAAAGCGAAATAAAAGCCCAATAAACACCGACTATAATGATATGAACCACAACAACCCAATATTCCCAACACAAAGCTCAAAGCCCCAATGACAGCCATAACAATATAAGTATAAGCCAATATATTGTGCTGATCAGTACCTCTAACTCCAAATGTTGAAAAGTAGAAGTATAAGGCAGCAGCTAGAACAATCATTCCTACGATCTGGAAGTAGAATATATATTTAACACACAATAATATATCATTCAGTAGAAATATGAAAATGTTTATCAAGCATTTATACACATACGTGGAATATTTCCTCATACGGTATGTCAAAATCTTTAATATAACTAATATCAATCGAAAGGATGCTGACAAACAGCCACTAACCCATCGTAGATGTTTAGTTAAAAAACCTTTCCAGTTTCTTTAGAAAATCTACTGTTTCGATATTGCGATCCCCTAGTAGAACTAAAGTCACCAGAAACTCTATGAGGAAAGTTTTTGAAAAGGAAGGGCTACAAAACAGTTATCAATTTAAAGGTCGCGTTTTATTACGAAGTTATGAGATGGTGGAGAAAATTTGTAGCTCAGGTGGATGATTGCGGTGGTGTTTGGTTCTCTGATCTGGATGTTTTGGTTGTGGAGCTTACATAGTACCTATGAACATCATCAGCACAAACTTCAGATAGAAGTAAAGCATTTGAATTTCTACACGTTTGACCTGTAACTTGTTCTGCTTCATTTCTATCTGAAATTTGTGCTGATGATGTTGTTCAGAAGTACAATGTAAGCTTCACAACCAAAACATCCAGCTCAAAGAATGAGACACTACCACAATACGAAGTTATTTAGATACAAATTAAAATAAACAGATTGTATAAGTGAAGGTATTCTTACATAAGACCCTGCAAGTGATGCTCAATACAACCATGATTTATGTAGTATTTTACCTTGAAACCTCTATTTGAAACATTGTTTCGATGCTGTGTTACGGATAAGTTATATAAGGCTGATGGATATATATTTTGATGTTACACTCTCGTAACGTACCACATACTAGAGCAGGCGTAATGTTCACTCAACGATCATTTTAGTACACACGAGTCTTGGGAAACCAAAGCGCTAGGCATGTCCTCGCCATTTCATGAAAGCTTATGACAAAATTCCAGTTAATTTTGAATGAGTAAACACTTTCCCAGTCGAACCGGTGCATGGGGATGGAAAAATGTTTGTGTAGCACGCTCCAGTACAGGCTTATACGCAGACAGTTTCTCCCGAAAACCATAGATAAATTGCTTAAAATAAAAGTTCCTCTAAATCACCGAAATAATCAAGGAAAGAAAAAGACTTAAAAGTACTTTCATTAAAAACTGACGGTAAATTTACGTAGTGCGAAGCCCCTGATGTGTTGGTAAGATCAGAATTGAGATTAAATTAAAAGAAAAAAGCGTGGAAGTTTACAACCTAGATAAGCATACATGTACAAAATGAAACCTAATGGTTAGTAAATTCGTCAAATCATTACTGGTTCAACTTGGTATAGACAAGAGTTTTAGAAATCATCATGGTAAACTACAAAACTACTTACTGTGAACAATATGTTGAACAAGATCATAAGCACGCGGATGCATGCTGCACAAGATTTGCACATTCTCAAGCAAAACGACTCAACACTGCACAATGGTCCGTAATTCAAATCAGGTACAAACCCCGGGAAAATATATTAACGATACCGGTCCAATGTCTAGTTGACAAAGGTCCAATTCAATAAACAATTTAGAAATCCGATATGACCTATTTAGCTTATTAATATCAATTATTTTTCCAAGAGTTATTCTGAACCAATTGATTCATCTTTGCTTGATTCGGTACGGGGAGGGAGGCTATAGTCAACTTTTCAGAGAGAAGTTTAGAAGTTGCAACAACATTTAACGAGAAAAAGTGACCACGAACCTATATCACTCTTTGATTTGCAATTTTTCAAGTGTTGACAGCAGGGGTGTGATTTCGGTGCTTCAACAAGATGCACATATTTAGATGGTTCAGAGTACTTAATATGTTGTGCGCCATGATCAGATCACTTCTGATTCTCCTGTAACTCAGAAGGAATAAGCCTAAGTTCTGAAGTCCGTCTTCGTAGGTTTTATTCTTCAACCATATCACCTGTTTCGTTTCTTGTCTCTACACTCGATCCAGGAGACATAACCACAGAAAGCCTAAACACAAGTTCGAACCACTTTGGAGACGTAGCCACGGCTGACACAACTTTTCATAATGTGTGAAGACAAGTTGATGCAAGCATTTGGTAATTGTTCTTAATACTCTTTAAAACATTCAAAATTCCACATCTTGAGGTTCCCGTCATTGCATCTCCTTTCCTTGAAAAAGACATATAAGACAGACATGGCGATCTGAGGAGATATTAAGGAGTGGACTTTCATTGAGAATGTGAGCTGGTTGCTTCACTCGGGGCAGAATATTCATAAGCTGACATGTCAACTGATTTAGATTTGACAGACTCCCCACTGTTTATTCCTCACTTGATGTAAAGTCTTTTTAAAGTTCAGTTGGATACTCTTAGATTCTTACGGACATGCGGACCTTTGTATCGCCTGAGAAGATTAGTGCCGTTAAACTAACTTTACCTGACAAATCAATAATAAACATCAGGATTTAAGATGTTCCTCAGTGAAACTAGTGATGATGAGACTCGCCAGCTTGCAATGCACATTAATTAACTTGGATAGAAACTTTCTGTTTACAAGTTAGTTTCTGATTGGAAATAGAAGTGGATCAGTGAAGCCCATATTTGATACCTTCACGATAAGGACTGTGAGAAATACACTGTCGAAAGCTTCTGCGAAGGAAGAGAATATTATGTGAACCAGTAAATTACAGTACAAGAAGGCTGTTCAACAATGTAATGCTAACAGAAGCATGAGTTTGCTTGACCTCCATTTACTATTCCATTGTTAGCTCTAATAAGGCACAATGTTCTTATTCATGTACTCTGTCATCCTCCATATCTCGATGTTCTGTATGAGTAGTATTGGAAGTAATGCGACCATTTTGCTACAAGCCGGATCTTCCCTAGTTCTTCCTCTGAATGTTGGCGAGACAGTAGATAGTTTCCATCCAGCTGTGGGCTTTGGTGACTCCAATGAATGCCTGAACAGGCCATATACCACTGAAATTAGGGCTTCTGCACACTTTTTAATGAGTATGAGGCGAATTTCACCATATCCAGATGGCTTTCAAACTCAGGAATTCGGGTTTACGTTATACTAGGTAAGGGGTAGATCGAATATTTGTCAGCACATCAAGTGGCACTAGGTCTGAATAGTACTCTGAACATGTAGATTACTGGGTTAACTGGTGGATGAAGTTGGTGTTAAAGATCCTGACTATCTGTAGGTTCGTAGTATCTTCGCCATTTGGACCTGAGAGAACAAACTCCATGGTCTGTTGGTTTACTTTTAGTCATGAACATAAGGAGATATTTTGGGTTTACCTGTATTATGTCTGCTATCTTCCTTTGGAGGTGTCTCATCGCATCGAACATTGGAATTGCATCTGTTTCTCATTCCCAAGTAAAGTATACGGTCGCGACCCTGGCTCTCTTTTTTGCCTGTGGCAAGATTTCAGTGCCTCTTCTAACCAGTGTTCCTCACTTGCAAGATGTGTGATTTGCCTGAGGTACGTTGTGTAGGAGAGCATTCGGAATGGTATCTCTCACTATTTTTCTGTAATTATTTACTGTTAGCCTCCACCATTCTCGTTGCCACGAAGCGTCTAGAAGATGCTCTCTGTATTCATGTAATTTGTCCTAGTATAGCAAAGTTAGGAAGCGTTTTCATCCTCTCTGATTATTTCTTTTGTGCCCATGTTTGACATGATTGTGCAATTATCACTACTTCCTATTGGTGTGTGATAAGGACATTCTCAACTAGGGACTGACCGCTTGTTGACAAATAATCCAATTTTGAGGAACTTCCACCCATACTCCATCTAGTGATGTTACACCCATGCCCAACTAGTCCTGAACTTCTAATGTCTGTAACAAGTCCACTTTAGAACCAAGCTGTAGTACTTGTGTCCTGCTTGCTTAGATTTGGCAGTGTGGTGTTGATATCTCCAGCTGAGAGTATTTGATCAAACCCAAGAAGCGGAGTTACGACATCGAGTCAGTCAGCTTGTCTCCCTGAGCTTTCGTACGTCAGGGTGCTGGTGAATCCCTCCAATCAAATATTTTGCATCTTTGGTACTGTAGTAACACCAGCATGACTCTGTGGCATCGATTAGTTGAGTGCTGTGTCATGTTACGGCCTAAAAAGTGCGGTTAATGTAAATCGCTACTATACCTCCTGGTTTGTATATCTCAACTGGAGAGTGTCATGCCTTACAAGATCGCTTCGTCCTCCACCTGGTCTTAATATAGATAAGTGTTGTACTCTGAATAGTGACATGACTGTGAAAATGTAAATGCTCGATTAATAAATTTCACCGAGTAACTCTTCAGATAAATTTACTTACTGAAATGAGCAGTAAGTGGCAGCGTTGAATTTGAAGTAGTGGCCCGCTCTCTGACTCCAATATTGAAGAAGGATTTAGAATGCCATAAAATAAATCTTTGCCGCCAATTCTGTATTTCATACTTAGGCGAAATCCGTTTGTGCGATTTCAGTAATAAAAAGCAAAATTCAGTTTTGCGGATGAGTTCCTTTCATGCGATCGTTCGTGCAGACAGACGTGATAATAGAAAGCATGAAAGCAAAGCGAGAAAAAGCGGAAAATGCGAGTGAGATAACTCAATTTGATTAGAAGTGACTAAGTGTTTATATTCAGATAAAAATAGGCCAGGGATGTGATAAGCGAAGTAAGCATGTACACATACACTCGGAAAAAAGAACTAAGTTATAAGCGAATGATTGACAAGGTCGACAGATGAGTCAATCATGACTCGGGTAGAAAATGTTAGTTGGATTGTCCGGAGACTAAGACAAGCCCTGTGGGCTCGACATTATGACACATTCTGAGAGGTCCTATGACATTTCATTGTCGGTTTTCGCATTTCTAAGAGTTTATGCTTTCAGATGTTTCAAATGGTTGTGGCTTTTTATTATAAATGCACTTAGTATATTTTATAATCGAACTGGTTTATCCTTTTGGGGTATAGAAGCTTGCGAAACAAATATTTTTGATGAATAAGCTGACCCCGTAAGTTTTAAATCTACAACCAAGGCTTTTCAGTAATTCACGTGCCTCCGATCGCAGTTGGGTAGAAATACTGTACAGAAAGAGTTAGCAAGATCATAACACAAATATATACATGGAGGGATTTTCCCAAAAACGAAGCCTTCGAGATGGATTCTACAATTATTTTTGGTGATTTGGCCTGTAGTGCTGTCAGAAAGTGAGTAGTCGCGACATTTCCACACTAATCAGCAAAATGGGCAGTTGTAGGACGGAAGGGTTGATGAACAGAAAGCGCTTACGGTGCTCGAGTTGTCACCGAGTCTTTTATGAAGAACGGTACCAGAGGTAACGTGATGTGTCTGCTGCTCGAGTTGGCGTGCCACACCAGGATGGTTTGCATCTAGAATCTAACGATAGCGTTCGAAGGGGCCCGTACCAGAAAACGCCGCAGAAGTAGTACGAAACCAGGTTGAGCCGAGAAACCAGGAGTGACCATAATAACCGAATTCGGAACCATACGTACGCCAGACGTAATCGGAACCAGAACGTCGACTGACTGCATTGAAAAGAGCGTGGTTGATCAGGCTAACTTTCACCAAGATTGAATGAAGCCAAAGGTACCAAAAGGGTGATGGTCGGTGGCGTCGGCTCAGGATGAAAAATCAAAGAAAAAGAGAAAGCTGCAGCATGCATGTCGTACGAGGATAAATTACTATACCGTATCCGTTGTTGATTGAGGCGTTTGTCACGAAAGTGTACAGGTAGGTGAACTCGGTGACCAGAACGTGAGACAGTAGTCCCGTTCGTAACTCGTGTTTGAGAGCTTGAGACTGTAACCTCATCCGGATTCAAGGGCGGCGTGATCTGCTCGTCTAAGGATGAGACTGAAGTTTCATTCGTAGATAATGCAGGTGACACATGCTGATGACTGGGACGGGAGAATGAAATCTCTGATGGGGTTTGAAGGAGATGTTGGGATTCTGCTAGTGAGTTGGAAAGGTCTAGCTATGAATCTAGATTTATCGGGTAGGGCATTGTCATTGACGTGTGGTGGTTCGAGGCGATCAATGCTGACCGTGTCGATCAACCTTGAAGGTCTTTAGGTGGCGAGAGATCACGGAAAAATATCCTTCGTAAGGCTGTTGCAAAGGTTTGCGTACCGAATCTACTCGTATGAAAACGTATTGACCGGTAAATAGATCTCGAGGGAGAGCGACCTGTCGATTCTGTATTCGAAATGACTCCGGCGGCAGATATCCGCTGAACGTTATCTGATGTGCATTAATTCGGTCTCCCGTAGTGCGAAAAATTCCCCTGGCAGATACAATGGCGTGCCGTACACAATTTCAGAGGTGGAACATTGAATATCTGTCGTTACTGCTATGTAATCACCGTGCGGTCTATTTTGCCAACCGAGTGGATAGGGGAGACCCAAAGACTGTGAGAAAGACGAAG